TACTTTAATTTTGGACGGCAAAATATCCGCGTTTTGATTTGCCCATACCTAGTTATTGGGAGAAATAGTTCTTTTCCCGGTTTATTATTATAACTTAAAATCTGGTTTAAAACCATAGTCCAAATCACTACATAACCGCTCGTTGGTAGTCTAGAAGAATTTTGAGAGTGTCTGAACCATAACTGAAGTGTGCCTAATCCAAGGAACTGAAGGCGTTGGTTAGGAAATTAAAATGAATGTGCATTCTTTCACACTTCTTGTCACTTATGCAAGTGTTAGACGGACGCATGCTAAATATTATATTTCATACACTCTACAACCTGTGAACATACCCGTCGGGTAATTTATCTTGTGATATGTGATATTCACAGGTACTTAGGAAGACCCCCCCCCCGATATCAACCCGGGGCTTAAAAAAAAATTTTTTTCACAATTTATATTTAGTACACTTATTCAACATGTTTGCAATAAGAACAAATCGTCAAAACCCCAAAATAATCGTTCCACAAAACAATACCCCACTAAACATTATAAGAGAGAAGGTAAGCAACTTCGGTTTGTTTACATTGTACCCCCACTGGTCTTTCTGGGTTTAAAAACATGTATTTATTTCATTTTCACCTAAAATGTCGGTCCACACTGTCTCTACATATATTTCTGTCTCAGTCAATGCTATCGAATTGACTCTGCATCTCGTAAGAATCCACAAACAGAATTCCAGTTAGAATGTTGAAATTCCCTTAGGTAAACGCAACGGAAGTGCATAGAGAATGTTACACTTTTTACGATAACGTCCGAGAGAGTTTTTGCCTGACGTAATAATAACCCTCGGGTGTTATCATAGATAATAGGCACTTCCGTTGCGTTTACCTAAACGTAAACAAACCGAAGTTGCTTACCCACATTCTCTAACCAGAGTTGTCTTCCGCTGCGCTCAACTCGACAACTCTGGATAGAGAATGGTTGCTTACCTTCTCTCTTATATTGTATAATGGTGTTTTTTTTTTGTGGAACGATTATTTTGGGATTTTGACGATTTGTTCCTATTTCAAACATGTTAAGTGTACTAAATATAAATTGTGAAAAAAATGTCAAATAAGCCCCGGGGTTGAATATCGGGGAATGGGGGGGGGTCCTGTCCACAAGTACCTGTGGTGATATTGGCCTTTGTAATTACATGTAGCATATGGCATTTATTATTTCACACTATGAAGGCCACTTATTCGTGACCCCCCTTCCTTAACTCAAGTTCGCCTATTGCATTATGTCCGTTGTTTTTTGCTTGTACGTGTCCATAATTTTCATTATTTAAATGTGAAGGGGTTGATTGCTTACTGATTGATATAAGGACAAAGCCACTTAATGCATAAAAGTAAACCTACGTGTAGGTACTCCTTTTTATTTTATGGCCGATTTTAAAAGTCAAGATAAAGACTCTGTGCTTTCATTTCCTATCAAAAGATTTGCCCTACAAGTCCATGTCTTGAAAAACAGGGTTTATAGTATTGGAATGTCCTTGAATTTTGAGGTAAATAGGTTTATTTGGGTACGTTCAGAGAAGGAAAATACAAGTAATATGAGCGCATTCTCTGATCTGAAAAGTAAAACACGTTTTATTATACCCATAAACAGTTCTCTAATTTACTAGTTGCATAGTTTAGATCAAATGTTGCGCTCTAGGCATGTATGAAATATAAAAAAATAACTTTGGTAGTTTTTCCCCCCAGAATATGATGAAATTGACACATTTTTGATGTTATATATCTTGCATTGACTAGCTAGAAAATTTCATTTTTGATAGATACGCAATTATCAAAGGTCTCAATGATATTAAATGAATTGTAAACATAAGACGTTTCAGTTTTTCAGAAATTCACACAGCCAAAAAAGGCCATGAGTGAACTTTAATGATAATATAAAACAATTGAATGATATGGAATTTAAAATAGACCAAAAGAAAAAAATGAAACGTGAATTAAATAAATTACTTGTTTTAAGTCATGAAATATTATTTTGATGGCTTTATCTTTATTTATTTTTTATTTTGAGCTTTACATCAATATATAAATACGATTAACCTAAGATGCCTAAGTGGCGAATATTCCTTTCTGTTCGTGTGTAGGCTAATGAGGAGGCGCGAAGTGTAAGTATGAGAAGGGTTAAGTTCACATCCTATAGGGGGGGGGGGAGATTTACACACGTATACTGGTCTAAGTATGAAATGAAAAAGAATTTGTTTGCATATTTTAATCCTATATACAAATCAACCCTTTACAGTGCTTAGGTAAAATTGAAACTCTCTAGAAAAACACATAACCTTTTACTCTGTTTTACGGCTTCCTAAAATAAAATAAAACTCATCCTAAATTTTTTTTATTTAATTGTTGAATAAATAAAATACTATCTTCTAAGCAATCTTTGTTTGCATTTGACATCAAACAAAATATAAATTTATTTGCCTATTTACCTGATTATTTTTCCTGTTTTGAAACAATAACTGCAGTATGAATAGTAAATTTTAACAAAATAAGTAAACTGGTATGTAGGCTACAGCCCATTTTGTCTAGATTAAAAATGCGCCACCAGGATGTTTTTACTGATGCTTATCTTTTTTAAAATTAATATTAAAAGAATCATTAATATTTTACAATTACCGTGAAGTGTGAAATTGGCTGGTCTATTTTCATTCCTGCGTTAATTCCAGCGAGGCCTAGAAAATTATTGACAAGTCCCCTAAGAGGCAAAAAATTAATGGGTCCTAATTAGAGTAATATGAAAAAATCATCAAAACCCCAAATGGGTTCGAATCCCACTGTGGGACGTGGAGACTGTTCATTCGAAGGAAACCTTAAAAACCGAGATACTGTGTCGCAGTAGGTGCTGGCACGAAGAAGATCCCAAACTGCTCAATGGCCCTGAGTGCCGAGTATTGGACAAAATTTGCAGCTCTCCACCGGCAAGTGTTGGCGTCTCCATATGAGTGAAAAATTCTCGAGAGGGACGTTAAACAATAATCAGTCAATCAATCATTCAAATAAAGTTAGAATATTTTCGCATCAATTAAACTTTTTTTCATAATGTAATTATCTAATTATCTTTTGGTTAAAGGGCACAGCAGGGAAAATTAAAACAATTAAAATACAACCCAGAAAATCTTAAGAAAGAATTCAATGCTATACTTTGGAGGGAATGTCCGTGTACAAAGCTGCAAAAATGTATAGTGTGCCAGAGTCCACTCTAAGAGACAGAACTTGGGAGATTATTCACATTGATATGTCAATTGGGTAGACAGCTACATTTAACAGAGATGAAGATAAAAACTGGTTCCCCATATTTATTTATTTTTTTTTTTGGATGGCTGATGTTTGTAAGGGTTACAACAAAAGAGGAGTTCAGTAATTGGCTCGGGAACATGCAGTGAGTTTGAGAAAAAATCTACATGTAACACACAAAAAGTCAAACTCATCAACATTAAGAAATAGTTGGTTTTCTGGGTTCTTGAACAGATGGCCAGATTTGAAAGTAGCATCTCCACAGAAATTGACAACCTGTAGAGCTGAAGCAGTATCTAGGGATAAACTGAATTCCTATAACAAAGAACTGTCATCGATAATGACAAGGCACAACATAAGACAAACCCCTGAGCAAATTTATAATATAGATGAAACTGCAATCAGCACAGAGCACAATCCACAAATTCTATTTTTGTTGTAAAACACAAAACCTTAAGCAGTCACATCTGCTAGATCATCACTTACCACCATTGTGTTAAAAGGACAAAGATTGTCGGATGATCTACTGAAAGGGTCTGTTCCTGGGGTTGAGGGCATCATGACAGAGGCTGAATGATCAAACACAAGTATTGGAAAAGTACTTGACTGAATTCTTTGCAAAGCACACGGGAATAAGTGACAATCGGAACAAGACGTTTGCTTTGGTATTATATGATGAAATCAAGTCCAATGTCAGTCTTACTATAACAGACTGGGCGAAACGACAATGTCATTTTTTTGTCCTTCCGCCCCATACTAGCCACCTAACCCTGTCATTAGATGTTGCTTTGTTTGGTTCATTGAATCTATGTATATTAATAAGAGTGTCAGATGTTTTTACAAAGAGATCCAGGAACCGGTATATTACAATACATCTAGTACCATTAACGATAGAGCGCTCGCTCCGTGATCGGGAGGTCGTGAGTTCGTATCTCGGCCGCGATATTTTAATAATATATTTATATCTTAATATATTTCTTGTGAGAAGAATAGATTGTCTTATTAGAGTTTTCTTCGACTAACATTTCTACACGTTATGACAATGCATTCATACACCTTTGATTGTTGTATCGTATTTAAAACGTATTGATTGATTGATTGTATACTGTTTAACGTCCCTCTCCATTATATTTCACTGATATGGAGACGTCACCATTGCCGGTGAAGGGCTGCAAATTTAGGCCTATGCTCGGCACTTACGGCCATTGAGCAGGGAGGGATCTTTATCGTGCCACACCTGCTGTGACCTGGGGCTCGGTTTATACGGTCTCATCCGAAGGACCGCCTTTTACGACAAGCAAAGGGGTACTGTCAGAGTGTTATATATTTGACCACGCCATGTGCGTTTTAACAACGATTTTTATTCAACTACGTCATACATACACATTACAAGACATAGACAATACACATGTAACAAAACGCATCAGTGAGGCTGAACGGCATAGGGTAAAATCAGAGTTGGGTAAAAGTAGAATACATTACATCCCTCTCCTTAAGATAAATATAAAATTTACAATAAGAATGAACTTTACAAAAATCATTATTTTAAATTTCTTAATTTTGATATTTAACCAGTTCGAAATACAAATTACAAATATCTTGAAGAATTGAAGTTTTCCTTATGAATCCTGGCTCCTGAGAATCTTGAGAATTACTGAATCACACATACACATAGCACTAAACACAAATTAAACACTCTTCACAAATACACTAAATTTCACAAAACAATTATTTGGTGAAGTCGTCAAATTTCTTTGGTGGAATCACGACACGTCCTGACCTGGTTACGATGGTGGATGACGGTGTGATGGTTTCAGGGAGTTTCGGCAGGTCTGAGGATTGCGGTGTGCTTGCGACCTCTTGTAGATTTTCTTCAGCTGTTTCTTTGGTTTTTGTTGTGTTGGCTGAATCGGAGATTTCTGTTTCTGCAGATTGATGATGTTTGAATTGTGCTGCAGTTGGTCTGATGTGTATGCGGTTTTTTCTGTATTTGGTTCCATCATTGGTCTTGACTATGTAGGATCTGTTGCTCTGTTCACTTATCACGTTTCCAGGTATCCAATCTTTTCCATGTTAGATGACTATTTTTTCACCTAAGTGAAGTGGTCGAAGTTCTCTGCCTGCATGTCTGTCAAAATATAACTTCTGTCTGGTCTTTCTGGTTTCCATTCGCATCTTCAGATCATTTGATGATATTACTGCTGATAAGAGTGGAGAAGCAGTAGGAAGATCTGTTTTTAGTCTTCTGCCTAAGAACATTTGTGCAGGTGACAAACCGATTTCTTCGATGTTGGTATTACGATAGTCAAGCAAAGATTTGTATGGGTCTTTGGCTTTACACAACAAGTTCTTGACTGTTCTAACTGTTCTTTCTGCTTGTCCATTGGCTTGCTGGAAATGGGGTGATGAAGTCACATGAACAAAACCGTACTCTTTGCTAAAGTCTCTGAATTCCTTCAGACACTGAATGGTAGCATAACTGCTAAGTCCAGGTAACTTTACGACTTCTGGCCATTTTGAGTAATGATCAACTGATACCAGATATTGTTGGTTCTCAAACTCAAAGATGTCTGCTGAAATGTTGGCCCATGGTCTATCAGGTACTTCTAGTGGAATAAGTGGTTCCTTCGGGTTTGATGTAGAGTGCTGTGCACATACTTCAAACTGTGATACAATTTTCTCAATGTCTTTAGACATTCCTGGCCAATACATCACATCTTTGGACCTGCTCTTACACTTTACAATTCCCAAGTGGGAGCTATGAATCAGGTTCAGCATTTCTGTTTTCATTGACTGCGGGATGATCAACTTGTGACTTTTGAATAAAAGTCCATCAACACACGAGATTTCGTCTCGAATATTCCAGTACATCCTGATCTCATCTGGAACTTCAGCTTTCGAGTCTGGCCATCCCTCTAATACTGTATCAAGTAGTGATTGCAATTCTGCATCATTTGCTGTAGCTTTCTTGAACTCTTCATATTTCATTGGAGAAACTGGTAAGTATGATATCAAGTGAATATCATTCACTGAAATGTCTGGAACAAGGTTTTCCTTCGTCTCACTGAGATACGATCTGCTGAGAGTGTCTGCTAAATTCATAGTCTTTCCAGGCTTGTAAATCACTTCTAAGTCATACTTCTGCAAACATAATAAGAGTCTTTGTAATCTGGGTGGAGCGGAATGAAGAGGTTTTCTGAATATGCTCTGTAAAGGTTTGATATATATTGATAATGTCTGTTCGGAAAAATCAGGGATTACGATATTTCTGACATATATTATGCGCAAAGGTCCAAACATCTTTTCAAATACTACGTAAAAATTATCAAATCTGTGAAAAATTTCAAATGACAAACCTATTCTTTTGAAAAGTTGTCTATCTTTCTTATATCTCTTGTGATTTGTCAGACTTGAAAATTAATATCTTTAATTAAACACTCCTATCAATTTTTTTTAAAAAATATTTCATCACGGAACGAACTTTCTTAACACCCCTTATATACCCGATTTCTTTTTCTAAGATTGTCTCAAGTCCCTGTGTTTTCAGTTTGAAACATGTACCATTCAGTGGTAGCTCAACATATAAGTCTCTTGAAAGCATATTTATATGCCGTAATGAAGGCCACACGACAGACTTCCTTTTATATAAAGAAAAGTTTTTGAAAATAGAATAACCCCGTAAAGTGTTGAATACCTTTTTCGCTAAAACATATAACTTCAAAATTAGTGGCTTTTCTCTGAGATAGCAAAATGCCAAATTATACACCCGCTAAAAAGCCCGCTGCTGAAGCTTATAGAAAATGTATTTTAATACAGGAAACACATTTATTAACAAAGGTAATGTTTAAGACTTCAGATGCAAGCAGCCTTTGGTAAAGAAGAGTCAACGTTTGTTCAAAACATGGCCTTTGCTCAAAGTATGGGTCAGTTTCTTGTAATCAAAATTTTACATTATTAAATTCAGGAATTTCAGCACTCTTTGCACTTCGAAGTGAAAGTTACAGGACCTGAGACCGAGGCCCCGTGTCACGACAGGTGTTGGCACCATAAAGATCCCTTATTTTGTCTGAAAAGTTATTGAAACTACAAATTTCGGGTCGCGTTTGATTGACTCATTCTTATACTTTAACAAAGTAAACTTTATCTTTTATACTTAAAAAAAGCAGGAATTTTGTTGTGTATATTGAGAAATTTAAAACTATAATCCAGAAAATGATGTGTGCAGACCTTAATAAGTTGAAACACTCGATGAAACAGAAACATTAACGCTTACAGAGCTCCTGCCCCTGTTGACAAAAACAGTTTACGTTTCACGGGTGTGTTCAATTTGTTAAACTCGGTACACAACACTGAGTACGACTGAAAATACTGGAGAGCTGGTTTTGCTTTCTACTCTGAATTTTCTGGATTATAGTTTCAATTAATAAACAATAATATTTCTGCAATAATATACACAATAAATCCCCATTCACTTGCTAAAATGCTCCTGTAGCAAGAAGAATATGGAGATAACGAACAGTATTCAATCTCAAAGTCTATAAAGCAAAAAAATCTTAGGTTATTAAAAAAGGGATATATTTTTTTGGTTCTAAATCATTTCCAAGCATGTCCATTATACGGAGAGTGTCACGTTTACAAAAAGAAGTCTCACAAAAAAGCCCTCATCACCAACATAAAAAAGAAATGGATCTAATCTATCACGGATAGTTCTAGGTCGCCTTACAAACAGTTGGTCAACATTCAAGCCTTTTTCCTCTATTTATGTGGTCTTTAATATTTAGATTAAGAACATATAAACCTACCCTAGACCAGGTTAAGTTAACCCTAATTTCTGATTATAGCTCAATTCTGAGAAAGTTTTTAATCAGGTTCAAAAAATGTGAATCCTTTTAACAGGTAAACCTAGTTTAAACATAGGTGTGAGTATGGACATAAGAGTTGTCAAGAGACAGAAATCAGACTGATACCTCCGAAATAAATCATTATATGAAGTGTGAGCCATAATATACTGTAAATCACTTTTTATTCGCGAGAACTTTATTTTCGCGTAATTACGCGAGACAGTATGCTTGCGAAAATTTCATTCTCGCGTATAATAGAATTCCTTATGATTATATAAAGCAATGACCACAATTCGGGAAAATTTTGTATCGCTTATAAAGAGTGAATGACTATCTCGCGAAAATAAGGTGTCGCGAAAATTAACTGATCTACAGTATAGGGAAACCAGGATTTGAGTTTCGGTTTGAGCTGCTCCCAAGTTAATTTTATTTGACAGAACTATCTAGTTTGAATGTTTTGTTGATGCAGGTCCAAAGTATTGATCTGTAAGCCAGAAAAAAGGGACATACATATACAAAACCTTGCTCAAGGAAAGCAAAAGAATATAAATAAAACAGAAGAATGACAAAATGACGGACGGAGATGGCTAAAGCTTTGGGGTCTCTGATCATTTCATGGCGGGAGAATAAACAAAGGGAATGAATTATTTGAGTTATTGTCACATGTCAGATGTTTTTCATTATTGAAGGGATGGAAATCTATCTTATGCAAGAGAACAAGACTTAAAGCATTTGTCATTAGCAATAGTTTTAAAAGCAATATATTAAAATTCTGCATTCCTGTTTTAGTGAATGCACTGTGTGAGTGTCTAATGAATGAAAGTAATTTTTAATGATCTTTTACTCAAACATGATAACATCATAAAGGATCATGGATGCGACGTTTTAAATTTGATACAACTGTTTTTTTTTCCATACAGAAATGTCACAAATGACTGACTAATACAAAATAAAGCAAGACATATTGGAAAAGTATCCCTCCATATAAGTTGTTTGATAGGTAAATCGAATAAGTATTTCGCAAAAAGCTTCTAATCTATTTTGCTATATTATATTTATCTTCTCCTTTATGCATGAGTAATAGCCTAATATGGAAAATGCATTGCATCTGAAAAACTTTCTTGTGCTCATCAAAAAAGCTGAAAGATGTTTGTACCATATGTGGTTGTTAACAGTATTACAAACAAGAGGCCCAGGAACCACATCGCTCACCTGAGCTTGGAAAAAGCACAAATCAGATCCGAATTGAAAAGTTTACTGAGGGGGGGGGGGGGCTTGAATTCTTATACTACATATACTTGAGAATGCCTCCATATCAATACTGCATATAACTTCTTGAGAAATTTCTTGAGAAAAAGATTTTTACAGATCTTTTCAAAACATTTTGTCTGTATATATTACTTTGAAATAATTTGAATTTGACTCCCTATTGTTTCCCTCCCTACCCCCATTGTGGCCCCACCCTATCCCTGGTGGTTATGATTTGAACAAACTAGTATCAACACTACATGAGGATGCTTTCATATGAATATCACTAATCACGGCTTTGTAGAACTTGAGAAGTACATTTTAAAAGATTTCCCTATATATACCTATGATCGGCCATTGTGGCCCCACCTTACCCCTGGGGGTCATGATTTGAACAAACTTGAATGTACACTACCTGAGGATGATTCAGCATGATTTTTATCTTTCCTGGCCAAATGGTGCTGTAGAAGAAGATATTTAAAGATTTTTTTCCTATATATTCCTATGTAAAACTTCGATCGGCCATTTTGGCCCCACCCTATCCCCGGGGGTCATAATTTGAGCAAAATTGAATGTGCACTACATGAGGATGATTCAACATGAGTTTCATCTTTCCTGGCCAAAATTTTTTTTACAAATGCAATTAATTTTTCACTTATTCATAATAATCTCCCCTGGGAAGAGGGCTTTGCCCTTCATTTAAACAAACTTGAATTCCCTTTACCCAAGGATACTGTGTAGCAAGTTTGTCTGAAAGGTTCTTGAAAAGAAGATGAAAATGTGAAAAGTTTACAACGACAACAACGACGACGACAGAAAACAGACAAAGATTGATCAGAAAAGCTTAGGTGAGCTTATCAAAAGCAGAGCAAAGACGGACCTCTAAAACATCAGAGATGGGACCAGGTGTCATAGAGGAGTAAGTATCCCCTGGCATGTAAATGGTTTCAATGTTATCTTTTAAATCGTACACGATGTATCGGGTGTACAGAAAAGGTGTATTATCCTGTATGAAGGAAGGATAAATTTCCAACTTGAGGAATAAAATAGTATGATGTTTTTTCAATACATATAGATTGAATAAGAAGTACATGTACCGAGGCATTATTTATTAGTAAATGTAACAAAATAATCTGTTTTAAACTATAATTTTTAGCGTGAAATGAAGAAAATCATGCAGCCAGAAATGAGGAAATTTTTCAAGTCATTCAAAAGAAGTGTATCAGTCTACATGTATATTTGCCTACAGTTTGTCAGTTAACAATTTTTCAATGAAAGAAAACAATTAAACGACATTTTTATTCATAATGATCAAATATATATAGAGTAAACTCTATAGCTGGTAAATTGTTCCAGTTTCAGATGTACATCAAAACTGTTGGTCTTTGAAAAATTAATGTTGGCTAATAGCTCATTAATGTTAAGTTTTTATGATGTTTAACTTACCTAATTTCAAAGGTTTGGTTTATATTTCTCAATTTGTTCTATAATAGTAGATGTAAAACCAAAGTTTGGTGGTGAAACATCAAAAAGAAAGTTCATTCAGTGTAAAATTGAATAGAATTAAGAGCACATTTCATACAAATCAACTGAAAAAAATCCAATATCCGGTGACAAAATTATCAAAACAAAACATGAATAATTTATTCAATGTCTTAATAAGTGTGGTTTAAAATAAATTTTCCATTCAAAAATTATCTAATGTTTTCGTAAGTAGAATTTGATACTTGATTTCGAAGATGTTTATTTCTGTCCCTCTTTTGTCACATCATTTTGACCTTTAGGTTAGTAAGTCGGGAAATAATTTTCTTATCTTGGTTCTTAACTAGAGTAAGCCATCATAGGGTTCCAAATAATAGAGTGGAAAGGATATTAAAATCATTGAAGATCTCATTTTCAGCAATAGAATTGAAAATATTCAAAAAATCAAACAAAGCAAATAGCCTTCTCTACAGTTCATGTCTCCAGGGGTTTAGACGTGGTACAATAATAAACAAAGTTTTATACAGAAAC